GCACTGTATACTTGAAGCATGTGGGATATTCCAGCACTTGGAGCAGCGTGAATACTTTGACCTTCGCCTTCACGGGTGCTGTCACTGTGCAACATATCATCTCTTACATGATGGTGGTATGTTCCATCACCATCCTGTATGGTTCGTCCGCTCATCGTTCATTAGGAACACCTCGACTGCTATCGATTCACGGATCACCATGAAGGTTGCGCGTACTGGACGTTCTGTGTTATACAACGCTTTGCTGAACTTGGGTGGCTTCCCACCGAAGCCACGCAGGAAACTTGGAATGCCATCCAATATTATTACCCGGCGCATGGAGTTTCTGTATCCAAGTACGGCCCAGGATTTGAAGGGCTTATCCGGGGAATTTTTTTCGGTGTGTCTCGGGGCCGATTGTGCTCACGACCATTCACACTGATCATGCTTTACTTCAGTGCCAGACGACGCTTGAATTATGCGTCGAACTCGCAATGTGTATAATTTTGAAGAATGGGAGAATCACAGTGAGAAGTGAAACAATAACTTGAAATGTACTACTAGTATGTAGTACTGCCTGCTATTTACAAATACGTCAAAACCCAGCCAAATGCAATGAGGAAAGGAAGGAAATACAGTCCAAGAAGCTGAACGTGATTCAGACGAGTATGTGGTAAGAAAAAATCAAGTGTCCACGAGTCGAGCTGAATTGATAGACTCTCGAGCGGCACGACGCGCCGCTTCTCGAGTTGCGCGCTCGCTTGGAAAGCCCTTGCGCGCCCTAGCGTGTCTAGTACTCCGGTTACCAATCACTGCAAGGGCTCTGGCCTCCCATGAGTAATGCCCAACCGCTATCCACCTAAACAGCCTCCATCGCCAGAAACGCAACCGCTGCTTCCAGCGCGCTATAGAGCCCGTTCCGTCACTTGCGAGTACTCTGTTCTTCTTGAAGCGAAATCGTGCATACTCCATGAATACGGGATAATAACCAGACTGGCCCCAGTCGATCAGCCATAGATTTTTCTGCTCATCGATAATCATGTTACCCATGTGCAGGTCGAGATGGGAAAACACGAAGTACGGGAAGGGCTTGATTTCAAGACCGGAGATGGTAGGCTGTGGATTTTGCAGCCACCAGTTCATATAGTCGCGGAGATTCGAGGGCGACGCGTGTAGCTCCGGCCCGTAGACGTCCAAAGCCCATGCCATACAATGAGCAGAGCCAGAGGCGAGCCCTCCGGCAGTAATGGACGTGACGCTACGCATTTTGTTGACGTAGCAGCGAAGCTGCCACGCAACTTTTAGTGTGGACCACCACCCAAGATCTGCCCATGCTTCCTCCAGCGTGACACCGTAAATTCTATCCATTACAATTTGGCAGCTTGATGGGAACACGGCGTTGGGTACAACCCGGTGGATCTTTGGTACACGTATCCCTAGAGAGTCTGCCAACTCCATAGAGGAGATTTCGTCTCCAGGTACATGCGAACCATCGACGGATATCTGTTTCGTCACGAGGTCATGGGATAGTAGCGCCGCTGCAGAGGAAAGTGAAGTCCCGCTTTCATCGAAGCGATAGGAAACAGCTTTCAATGTAAGCTCTCGTATTTCGGCATCAGAGTAATTAGAGAGATTAGACCGATTGATGGTGCCCTACAAGATTTCCTGTCAGTTAAGGAAATCAGTTTTTGTAAACGGCCAACATTTGCTTCAACGACAGATGTACTTTGCTCTGAGCAGCTCATTTGGTTGGTGGTTTGCTGCGGTGATGCCACTGATGGTGAATGTCGAGTTTACGGCATCAGGCCTCGCGTTACAAGCACGTGGCCTCGGCACTTCCCGCCGCTCGCCCGAAGCTGCCGCGCTCAACTCTGTACTCACCCCTCATGTTGCTATCTGTGTAATGCCTCGTCCTTTACCTTCCTTAACCTCCGCGGCTATTAATATTCTTGCCTGAGGCGAGCTGTTACTCCGTCGGCTAAAGTGGCCCTCTGCTCGGACCTTCACGTCTTCCTCTGGGATGTGGCTGGTTGCGCATTACCGTTTCCGCTCGTAATGCGAATCCGGGCGTCCACATGCTACCTGTTCGACGATCCACCTTTAAAATCCATTCTGTTATCAGCGGCATATGTAACTATAGGGGATTCGAGGCTAATCTCTGGCACCGACTTGGAAACCTTCCTTCCCGACTGCCGCCGTGGTGTGGGTCGATCGTTCAATGAGGAGTATAAGAGGGCTCTCCATTTCTGGTCTTTGAGCAGCAAGGACTTGCTCTGTACTCTGTCACCTTAACTGGATTATGCATTTCAATGCCCTCGCCGTTGTTCCACTCGTGGCCGCTGCTCTCAGCACGGTTGTCGCCGCTCCCAGCGCACCAGCGACCGATGCCGTCCAGTACGACTGCGACAACGCATACAATGGCATGACGCCAAGCGGGAGAGGTCCAGGATACAGATATGCCTGCTGGAGTGTCTCTTTTGTAACATATCTCCCTGGTCTCCGATTGCGCAGGTTTTCACACCCGATTCCTCAAGGTGTACAGTTCTTACGTCTGCCACGTCGGAGGGTGGGGAATCGTCCAAGACAGATATTGTTGTTCCGGCGAGGTTAGATATACCTCTGTACGTTTTCGGGCTAGCCAAGGCAGAACATCACTGATGCTGTTCATTTTAGAACGATGTCGAGGTTGGAGGATGCTGGCTTATTGAGAAAGCATCATCCAAATCAGCTTGAACGTCAATGTTCGTACAATGGCATAGGTTATCAATGTGGAGTTACAAGTACACGTCGATATTCGTTTTCTGCAACCGTTCGGGAGTGCCAAGATTCGAATGTTTGAGTATGTGTTGGACTCGGTGGCTCCACGGCTTAATTTTCTTTTGCAAGAGCTGAAAGACCCCTTTTCGGTGGGGCGGTGTGACAAAGGAACATCGAAAGACGATTCACCGTGGGCGGCACTGAAACTGGTTTCAACCTGTTTGACAGCGATGACGACCTCGATCGTTGACTTTCTCACGCGCTTACCTTCTCGCTCTCCCCGTCATGTCTTTCTTGGAAGGTCTCAGCCTGGGCTTGGTTTCACCGGTGTTCAAACTGCACTGCTCTCGGACTTCCGGACATAAGGAGGCGTCCCTCAAGCATTGGCATTACATGGCTGTCTCCATCTTTGACAACATCTCTCGACTCAGTCTATGGCTTAGAACGACGCGTCCGGGTCCCCGACACTAGCTTGCATCGATGAGATTTCTGCGTATTCTAGGACATGGCCCCTCTTCACGACCATCTGAGTCCTCTCAGGAATGGCCCCTCTTCAGTCTTCGCGAGACGTGCGTCGATCATGTATGAAAGAGTCAAGACAGTTTCAGTGCTCTACTGCCTATATAACCCCTTCCCAACAATGTTCATCTTACATCCAGCACAATCTACTTTCGCATCACATATACTATGATGATGATCATGCACGGTTTCGAACCTATGGGCTCTGTCCCTATTTCACCTGCAGTGTTCGAGCCGTTTCCTGAACGCCGCGCAGCTTACGTCGACTGGGACTCCCCGTCCGTCATCGAAGACATTCATGGCAAACCTAAGGGTACGTTTTCTTTCCGCCAGGTTATCTAGCATTTGCTGACGTCGATACACAGTCACATTAAAGCAGTTATTGAAGACAAAGCTTCAGCCCATCACCCGACCGCTATTATCCCCCTTCGTCGTGTCGACGTCAAATCCGTACCCACCGGAAACGGACGCGCCCGTTGTGCGAGCTGCCAAGGCAGTCGTCAGACTAGGGAGGCCCAAGAAATTTGAGATCAAATCTGGAGGGCGTTATCATCTCCCCCCTGCCACACCGTCCCCTTTGGTACGGAATCCAACGTCGCTCGTCCCAGAGGGGTGCTACATGCTGGTGGAGAAGAACGGGTACTTTGTTGAGAAGAAGGAGAGGAGGTTTAGTGGAAAGAAGATCAAGGATAGTGTTGCTCGAGTGTGCCGGCGAGCATCTCAGGCTTCTTTACAAATTAATCCTGCTGTCGCCGTATGCGCAGAGGATTCCGAAACACACGCACCAGCCATCAGGCCACAGGTCTCTACCGTACCCATCGTCGCCCACACTCCGCCAACTTCTAAGCAGCTCGCTCCACGTCGAGCCGCGTCCAAGCGGAAATCCTGGAGAAGGGCAAGGGAGCAACAGCTCAAGGAGTACATTCCTCCGGCATACCTCCTCGCGCAGCGCTGTATTGATATCGTGCATTCAAGAAGCGCGCGCCATGCGGCTGAAGATGCCCTGCGCTATGGGGCACCTCAGAAATTTTAGATTATAGTCGTTACAATTGCTTTTACCATTATTTACTTTGCACCGTTATTCTTACTCTCGTCTATTGCGAACGTTGCTTTGCTGTCTTGACACCTCTACTATTTGTCGTACTACCTCTATACATTTCACTACTTGATATCCGCTGCCATTGCTCTGTGTTTTTCTCTTATGTTCTCGAAAAATATTCTCTTATCCTATATCTTTCCCGTGCGCAAAATGTGAAAGCGCGAGCACTGAACCGGTGCTACTACAGTACTTGTCCTGGTGCAAACTCGAACGAGGCGGACTCGTCTCCTCTAGTCCCATCGTGTGCTGCACCAGGGCAACCGTTGAGATTCGCTAGTTAGCGCAAAGAAAGAGGCTCGGTCAAGCATTTTCGAAAGCGATTCCTGTGTCTTTGAGATCTGCTGGCTAGCTAGAAAGCACAAATGAAAAGGAGCGGACGAGGGATTCCCGTGACTTGTGATCGCGCCGTTTTTGGTGTGGCGCTGTTTTCTCTCAGGGCCCCATTTTGCGGCAACACTATCATGCAGGTTCAAAACCTCATCACCCACCAACTCATACTGCACTCCATGCATAGTCCTATCAAAAATTTGCCTCTCATTGCTCAATGCGCCCCCCGAGTTATTCATGCGAAGCTTAGTCCTATCGACGCGTGGAATCGATCGCGCGCGGAAACTTCCAAAAACATGTACGGAATACGACCTCATAGCGACGCCAGCAGGATTTGAACCTGCGCCCTCAAAGAGGAACAGATGAACGTTAACAAGACATCACGGCATTCTAATCTGTCGCCGTAACCACTTGGCTATAGCGCCGTGAATACGCACTGCGCTTGTGGCGTGGGAATAGCTTCTTCAACGCAAATGAGTAGTGTGGCGTTGCAACCATCACTGGGAGAAGCATGTACGGTGATGATGGTTGTATAGGTGGTGAGTACCCTGTTTTGATAACCTCGACTGCGTTTTTTTGATACGTATGAAACGTCGGGGCAGAGGTAGGTTCGATACCGGCACGTGACCCTCACGTGACGCGCGTGGCATCAAGAAGTGCGGTGGGGAAAGGTGGGTGGGGGGCGCGTGCGCCACACGTGGTTACTATGTGGGATCGACCGTTAGAAACGGTTCAAAACTAAGCCTGTCGTATATTACTAACTCGGGTATGACATACTGATCCACGTTGAATTCGGCGAGCAAAAAGCCTCCTCTGCTAGTGCAGCAAAACATGCTCACGCCCAGGATTGAACTGGAGACCCTTGCATACTGCCAAGAGGTAATATAACCGCATAAGTACAATGCTCTACCACTGAGCTACGCGAGCATTGAGAGGTCAGGCACCGTGACGCATACACTCATGGAGTCGAAGTCCTACACCTTTCAAACTCAAGCATTGCACGCCCCATATAATTCCGCACCCGTCCCAACCATATCGTCGATATCTAATGACATCGTTATGTAGTATAGAACTGCAAATCAAAAAATGCACATACAGGCTATCAACTCGTCCACGGCGATCATATCGAGCGTTCCAAGAGGCGTCGAGGTAACGATCGGCTGGCCGCCCCAGAGCACGCGAATGTAGTACGCGCGGTCCTTGCTATACAGCTCGAATACGATTTCAGATCCCCTAAATGACGGGGGAATATACATCAGCTCCGAATACAATGGGAGGCGGAGACGCACATCCCAGGCCAAACCATATGGTCCACTTGCAGGAAGCCAAGGAGGGCTGATATCGATCCGTCGTGCCCAACGTTGTGAAGGTATTTGATCTACCACGAAGTTGAGCAAAGAAGGTAGGTGATTTGCATTAGAAGACCCGGCGTCTCACCGGATTCGTTCCATTCCTCGCGGTGGTGAGGTGCTCCCTGAGCTCCAGTAGCCACGTGCCAAACACCATGGTGCTGTACACCGTAGAGTTGGCAGAGTCGCGGTAGATATACGAGTATTCCCAATTTCCCAGACGATACACATTGTTCGCCTGCCAATTCAAGTTCCCTCAGGAACTGAGCGAAGAGAACAAACATACCTCTTCCTGCGTTACACATAAGCTCGTATCGTTGACGCTGCACGGTAGAGTGAAACCATGACACTGCTTGGCACTCAAATTATCGTAATAACTAGAAACGGAACGAAGGTTTAAAAACTTGAATGCGTAGGTTGGCTGTCACTTACTGATCAAACCAGGTATGCCAGCCAGCCGTATCCTCGGGGTCGATACCCGACACGGCATCGAGCTTCTCATACAGCGACGCAGCCGCTTCCAGATGGCCTGTCCAAACTCCACCGTCGCCAGCGCCTTTGTCGGTGATGCCAGGCTTCACCAGATTATCGCATGGATCAAGACTCGGTTCCAAGGAGTCAATACCGTCGCGTTCGAGGTACACTTCGGCATTGAGGGTATCAGGGAACAACCCACGGACGAGTCCGCCGGCTACTTGGGACGTGATAACATTGTTCGTGACGCGCACAAGCGCCGCAGAGTGTTCGAGTTTGGAGCTCAGACCGAGGCGGCGCGCGTAGACTTTGCGTAGGTCCTGTTATCAAGTCTCAGAATCGCAAAGAAGACTGCGCGGGTAAGACCGTACAACACCGTGGATATACGCGTCCCAAAGACCTCGGTGGTAATTTGTGGAAACTGACAACTAGTAGAGAAGGTCAGAACAAAGGTATATGAGGTTTCTTGAAGGAAACGCACGTCGAATCAACGAAGCCAGGACCAACAGTCGACGACCAAGGGTTCTCGGCCGAACCATACGCTTGCCACTATCGATAGCATTAGCCCTGAGGTGCTCCACAAGACGACGAGCATCGCACCTGAATCTCAGAAACCCGCGGGCCGGTCGTACTGCAAATGCATTATTGTCACGATAGCAGGAAGGAAGAGTGAGCATAAGACGAACCTCTTCGCATAATGGACAGGCCCCGAACCTTCACAACTCCACGAAACATCCTCTTTGAAGAACGTGTTCGAGCCGTATGGTGTCCGCTTATGATTGTCTCTGTATGACCTCGACGTACTCAAGCGTATACTCATCCGAGGGCGTTCTGTAGCTCACAATAAGATAACATCGTTCTAATTTATCCCGTCTACTCACATGTACTCCCGGGCGCGCACATGCGGCATATTGCACCAATTATAAATGCCGTAGATCGCGTCCGGCGTCTGTGATGAGTTGAAGATACCAGGCGCGTCCGTTGTGCCGTTCATGACATAGGAGATGTTCGTGGTCGTGGGCGGGGCATAGTGTGTGGGATTGAAGGCATAGCTGGCACCCGCACCGAGGAGAAGGACAGCGACGAACATGGCGTCAGAAGGAGGACCGTGAGGGTAAGAGGTAAACCCTTTTAAGGTGAACATCACCGCACGTGCGTGCGACACTTGATCAACTTCTAATGTTTAATTCAAAATCCAGGATAAGATGCGCAACGTTGGATCTAACCTGGCGAATAGATATACTGGGAGCGAATTTTTCGGAGGTACCCTTGGCCCGACAACGAAGTCTCAATCTGTATCGGAAAGCGGAGACTTGGTTAGACACGTTCCTCGATGTCCATCGTCGTTCCTGATGAGTAGGGTACCGGCCGATTAGAGCTTATAGATAGGACATCGAAACGTTTTCTATTCACAAATCTTCTCGAGCTCTATGGCAACCATAGGCCACAGACAGCGGTCCGAAAAATCGAAAAGGTGTCCTGCTATCAGGAGCCTGACTAGCGGCCTACGCTCCTCGACATTGTTGTGATACTGTAGAGTTTCAATCAATTCGTCGGTCACGGGTCACGAGGGACCCAAAATCGACGAAATGTCACACGTGTCACTGGTCGCGCCAAAATCTGACGAATCTGGCAATCAAATTTGACGAAAAATGGCTCCAAAATCGACCGAATCGGGCTATTATGACGAAAAATTTTCCCCGGTCACGGCACCTACGGCGCCGCGACGAAATCAAATTTTCGTCAGGCCGGTCACACGTCACACGGCCTGACGAATTGAACGAAACTCTACAGTAGAGTGAATCAAAGGGCGTGACACTGCTAAAAATTGGAACCTTCCTATTTTGGATTTGGACATTGCTGTCGGCTACAGCAGCGATCCTACGGAGTACACGATTGTTATCGACGTCGCCGCGGCATGCTCCACTCCTCAACCTTGTCAATGCAGCTTAGCGAAAGAGTACTCTTTCCAACGCGCCATTGGCGATGTCACTGCAGCCTTCCTTCTCTCATCTCCAGAGAACATCCTCGTATCCCAAGCAATCGCGACTCTACTGTTCCTCCATACGGAGACGTCCATCTCGGCTTCGAAGATGCCGTTACGGTACTCAAAGCTCTGGTGAAGGGCAAAACACAGATGGACACAGCGGATACCAGGACTGTCATGGGTGTCGCGCTCTCGCGGCTTTCCGTGGCGTACTGAATTCATTCTCGAAGCGCCAGGTTTCCATCTACTTGTCTGTGACTCGCTCAAGGCAAGTCTTCCATGATATTCTTCTCGAGCCCTCTCATTTACCTCTGCGTAGTGTTCCAATCATTCAAATCAGGTGTTAAGTATTCTACGTGTAGACTGCGATACTACTGCTCACTCCCATGTCAGACGAATGATTGGACAACTCAGCATCGCCGGTACTGTGCCCTCCGACTTCGACACAACTTCGACAATCTGCATGAGGTCAGTCAAATTGTCTTTGACTCGTATTGACGGAGACTTATCATGCCATGCTATTCAAGGCCTTCCGTGAATGCCGTGCCCAACTTCCGGCTTCCTCCCAGATGACGCTGCATTTCACAAGCATACTTGCCATTTACAGTCTACCAAACATGGTGTGATACTACCCATCCTGACGTTCTCACGTCGCATCTTCCTCTTCATAACCACGATGAACTTGTGTTCGGATTCTTGACTACAGTAAGTAGTTCATTCTTGGCTTTCGCTTCTGCAAGTAGTCTAAGCATGTGATTGCTGATCCTTGGTACCTCACAGACCTCACGCGTTGCGTCCAGTGACGGGAATTTGATGCACAGCCACACCACCCCTTTGCTTTTACCACCATCCTGAATTTCCCATCCCTCTTCTTCATACCCTCCTCCCACATACAACCCCATAGATGGCCTTGATCACTATCTCTGGATATCCTTGTAGTGGAAAGACCCGGCGGGCCCAACAGATATCGGACTTTATCGAATCCAAACTAAAAGAGCCGGAATACACTGGACCGCCGTACAAAATCGTGGTCATCTCGGACCATTCACTCAATATCAGCCGTTCGGCTTACAACGGTGTGTATCCTCCTCGTTGCTGTACGATTGTACTCAACTTCTCAGACAGTCGCTCGGAAAAGCCAGCTAGAGGGACCCTGTTCACCAATCTGCAACGCCAAATATCGCCGAACAATATAGTGATACTTGACGCGCCTAATTATATAAAGGGATTCCGGTACCAGATATACTGCGCGGCAAGGGAGTTCAAAGTTCGTGTAGCGACTGTTAGCCACCCTTGCTCCTCGACTGCCTGATGTTGACCTTGCGCTCAAGTAGGTTTTTGTCGTATCAACCCCGGATCAATGTCGTACACGAAATGAAGCGCGACCGGAGGGGGAAAGATACACAGCCGAGACGTGCGTTTCGGTGCTCAAGTCTCCGGCGCCAAACTGACAGTCCGAAAGGTTAGATAATCTCATTCAACGATTTGAAGAGCCTTCTTCTATGGTCAGATGGGACTCTCCTCTGTTCACACTTTTGTGGACGGACGAAGGTATTCCGTCCTCCGACATTTGGAAAGCCATCATATCCGGCGATGTTAAACCCCCCAACTCGGG